GGCTCCGCGGCGGACACTCACCACTGCCCCCACCCCAAAGGCGCCAAAGGCACCCGGTCCCGGAGCAGCCACGCGCGGCCCGTGAGCCTCGCCACGAGCGGGGGCTCGGAAGAGGAGGACAAAGACGGCGGGGTGCTGTTTCACGTCAACAAGAGTGGCTTCCCCATCGACAGCCACACCTGGGAGCGCATGTGGATGCACGTGGCCAAGGTGCACCCCAAGGGGGGAGAAATGGTGGGCGCCATCAGGAACGCCGCCTTCTTGGCAAAGGTCAGTGGCTTTGAAGGGGGGACGGGCAGTGATGGGACCGTTGCAGCTCGCACACAACACACAGGCAAATTCCATTTTCTTGGTCCTGCTACAAACTGCCTTCCGCTCCCATGCCTCCCGCCCCCTCCTGCTTAATCGAGATGTTTTTCTTAGAAACCTTAGAAGTGGAGGGGCGGGGGGTGGCCCCCGGGGCTTGCTGCTCTGGGACTGGGCTGTCGGTTGTGCCAAGGTTTTTTTTTTTGTTTTTTGAGCCTAAAGCCAAACTCTATTATTTCCTCGCCCCCACCCGCACCCCCTCCCGCCGCAAAAGCTAACACCAGCGATGCCAAGAAAGCGCAGGACTTCCAGGGACCCCCACCCTGCTTTTTCTCTGGAGTTCTTGCTCTTCGTTCTCCCGGCACTAGCACATGATCTATGGGGCTGTGAATGGATTTGAAATTTCCCAGTCAGACTTCTCAGCGTGTGAATCATTTCCAGACTTTTTGCCAAAAATTTTTTTTATGACAGTGACTTTCACCTCTGAAGCTTGCACAGCAGTTAACTGCCTCTCTTCCCAGCTTAGCTGGGCTCCAAACAAAAGGGAACGTTTTTGGCTGTGGCTGGAAGGGGCTTTCCAGTACACAGGAATTAGTTTCTCGGGGTGGAGGCCGAGGAGCCACATTCGTTTTCCTTGGGCGGAAGCCAGCGGGCTGTGTGACACAGCCAGGATGCCACTAGTGATGGTTGGGGTCGTGAGGGAGGTGTACTGGTGGGAGTAGCTGCGTTGTATGAAACATCAGAACGCAAACTGGAAGAAATGCCGCAGAGCCTGGGGTGACAGCCTGGCGGTAGGTCCCCTGGACCTGGGGATGCTGGGATGGCTGAGAACATTCCCGGGCAAGTCTAGGAATGTCAGCCTGAGACCTGGAAGGCCTTCTGGTCGGGCATCTGGTCAGGTCCCCAGCCTGGTGACAACCGAGCGTCTGAGCCTGCAGGCCAGAAGTGTACCCTTGGGGAAGTGGCAAAGCCGCTAAACTTCCTGCTGCAGTCAGTTACAGGGTTTTATCGCGGAGCTTGCTGGTCAAGCAGGTCTTCATTATGCCCAGCTAGAACCTCGCCTGCTTTAACGGCGGCTGTCATTACCCTTGCTGAGTTCCTCTTGAGTGTGGAACGATGCTGGTCCTGGCCTGCAGTTCCTGACTTCAGAATTTTTCCTTCCTTAAATGAGGAGCTGGGAGCTCTTAGGACCTGAAAGAGAGGCCTGTTCCCCGTCCTTTGCCACCTTTCTGACTCAGCACCCTCAGCACCGACCCTGTTCCTAACTGTGGCTTCACCCTTCTCCCTACCTTCCGTGTGCGGACCCCGTTCTCGATGTGGAACCATGGAGTTTTAGAGGGGGACAGTCTCCCACCTTCAGCAGAATTCCTTCCTCTGTCTGAACACCTCCTGGGAATGGGCTCAAGCCTCACAGGGCAGTCCATCCCCGGCTGGCCAGATTTGGTTGTTAGGAAGCTCTTTTCTTAGACAAACAGAAATCCTCCTTCTTCCCCTACCTTCCCAATCACATCTTCCCACTGAGTCTTGCGCTGCCCTTTGCGCTGAGGTGGAACGTGCCAGCTTGCTTGGCTACTCACAGCTCCTTGAATGCTACAGGGCAGTGCTCTATGGCAGGAGGGCCCGGGAGTCAAAATCAAGGGCTGAAGCCTATCCCTGCTTCTGCTCTGTCTGGCACTGTGACTTAACCACTTAACGTCTCTGCCCTTAGTGTCCCATCTGTAAATGAGAGTAGACCAGAAGACATGTAGAATTCTTTCCCACTCCCAGGTCCCATGGTATTATGGCCCTTGATGTCTCCAGGTCTCTAGTGCTGGCTGCGGGACTCTAGAGGTTGGGGGACCGTGAGCCCTGGGAACTTTGACCCTCTGTGTCTTTTCTTGGCTCTCTTTGTCTGCAGGCAGCTCTTCACCCACTTTTTCACGTGTAACTCCTAGACCTCCTCATTCTCCTGGGATCTTTATAGAACAATTGCTAGTTTGTAACCAATCCCCTGAAAAAAAAACCTATGAAACACAATGTCCTAAATGTTGTCTGAGCAGTTTCAAACATAGTTTCCTACTTCCTGTGACCTGTTCCTGATACTTCCATTATTGTTGTTGAATGCTGTGTTCTTAAAAAAGATTGTTCACTTTTTTAATATATAGCAGCCACATCATCTTGTACTTTCATAACATGCTGAAGGTCACGTAAAGCTTCTAGATCCTTTTGCGTGGAAACTGCTGCCAAGTCAGGACTCCTCCAGCCCAAACTTGGGTAGTTGGCTTTTTGAACCAAAATAAAAAAGTTACCATTTCTCTCTCTTCCATTGCATCTCAATGTTTTGTGCTCCATCCTTGCCCCCACCCTGGCAGACCCCAGCCCCCAAGCCCTGCACGTGAACCCCACAGGGCCTGATATGGGAGCAGCCTCACGAGCTCCATTTCCAGGGACCACTCTGATTCACGGGCTATTCCTGCGCTCAGCCTGGTTGGCTTCTTTCCTCTGGAGCCAAGTCCTTTCTCCTTTAACCAAGTCTGTGTCTTGCTGAGGAATTTGTACAGGAGAGTGGTGGGGGCTGAGTAGTAAGGGCTGGAAAACTCCAGGGAGATTAACCATTTCTCGGCCATTGAATGTGGGCTAAGAAGCAAAAGGGATGTGGAAAGGCTTCAAGGGTCTGAGAGGACCGCTGAATGCTACTTCGTTTGCCTACACGAAATTCTGCTGGCAGCTGTGGTAGGGTCTGCTCAGAGGTCCGGGCCCTCCCCCACCGCATCCCACCCCCACCCAACCCACTGAGCTTCCCTGCTGTGTGAGCTTCCTTGTGAGTGCAGGCCTCCCTCCTGGTGGCTCCTGGGTCCAAGGTTAGCACATGGCGAGGGCGAGGCTGGAGTTTTTAGGGGTAGTTTAAGAAAACAGCAAGAGTCAGTGGAGGGTAGTAATAGAGGATGGGAAGAGGGGCAGGGAGAGCGGCTGGCCCAGAAAAACAGCTGGGGTGTGCTGGGAAGAGCCCCCGCCATTGGACTGGCTGGAGCTGGCTCTAGGGGCTGAGAACCAGGACGGATTCAACAGCAGACAGCAAGTGCATTTCCTGTAGCTCTCACCGCTTTAGTCCCAGTTCTCACGTTGGTTCCAAATTGGGAAATAATTCCCAGTTAGAGGACTGAGAGTGAAAACTGTGGGCTTGTGGGGTGAGACTCTGTTACAGTCAGGGCTGCACTCCTGCCCGCTGCTGGCTCACACGGCCCCTCACTCCCTCGTCGCCCCTGGACTGACAACCATCCATCTGTCCATCCTCCTCAGCCCAAGGCTGGGACCCCAGGACCTCTGTACCAGGCCAGCACACACAGATTTCTGGATGCCTCTGATGGGGAGGGGTTGTGGCTGCTGTGGTGGGCCTCCGCGCCGCCCCCCAGGTTGCCACAGAAGACTCTTCTGCCTGGTGCCTTCCCAGCGTATTTTTCAGAGCAGAGATGGGCAAAAGGTTGCCTTCTCCTTGCTCTTTCATGCTCAGGATTCCTGAGGCCTGCCGGGCTCTCACCACCCCCTGGCTCCTCTCCTGCATCCCCCCTCTCCTCCATGGCAATGCCGGTCACACACGCGTGTCCCTCTGCGTCAGTGCTGGCGTTTCTCAGGGGGGTCAGTTGTGTTTGGCAAGAATGGAGTGGAAGGGAGCCCGTCCACAAAAGCCTTGCCGATGGTTTGCTTCATTATTCTTCTTGAACCACCATCCTCCCCTCCACCCCCTCCTCCTGCCCCCTGTGCCTCCCAGGGCCCCTGCCTCCAGACCAGGGGCCTATGGGAGTAGGTAGGTTTTGATCAGTTGCCACTAGATTCTGCATTTACAGCTGGGCTGGGGCTTGGGGGGCTAGTGGCAGGAGGAAGGAGGGGCTAGTGGCAGGAGGTGGGAGGAGAGAATCTTGAGGGGAGTTGGCATTTCAGGTAGTCATTGATGAAATGGGGCAGGAAAACAGCATCAGGAGGGAGGTGGCATAGTGGTTAAGAGCTACAGCTGCTAACCAAGAGGTCGACAGTTCGAATCCACCAGGCGCTCCTTGGAAACTCTGTGGGGCAGTTTACTCTGTCCTGTAGGGTTGCTATGAGTCGGAATCGACTGGAAGGCAACAGGTTTGGGTTTTTATTGGTTTTTCAGGACCCTGGTCGGGGAGGGAAAGGTGTGCCCAGGGCTTTGCATAAAAGGTTGTGCCAGTTTCTGTTCCCATCAGCACGGTCCGAGGGCACGCTCGCCGGCCTCGGGTGCCCCGTGTAAGAATATCTTTGCTAACTGGACAGGTGAAGAATGGCCTTTTGCGGTGGATTTCGTTTGCGTTTCTTAAATGATTGGTGAGCGTGAACATTGTTTCCAAATAAGTGTTCACCGTTGGCACTGCCTCTCGTGAATTGCCTCTTCCTGGTTATGCCCCGCTCCCCGGAGGGCTGAAGAGTTTTCTTATCCCTTGGTGTGAGCTCCCCCCATTTAGAATATCAGCTCCTTGTCATCACACGTGCCCGGGGGGAGGTGAATGTTTTCCTCGTCTTCCTTTAGGGGGAAAAGGCCCCTTCAGGACGTGAAGCTCCCGAGCTGAGTGTCCAAGGAGTCGGGCCACGGCTGGTTCTGTTTTCCAGTTCCAGAAAAGTGTAAAGCATTCAGGCGTCCCGGTCCAGATCCCCGAAAGAGGTTGCTCAGGGAGCGCTGTGCACCGAGCCCAAGCTTCTACTTTACAAACACTGGGTCGTGTAATCCTCACAGCCAGCCGAGAAGGTCCAAAGAGGCTGACCTTACGAAACTGGTCGTGCGGCTTGACCAGGGCCCACAGCTAGTCGGTGGCCGAGTAGGGGTTTGAACTTAGTGGTGTCTGTCTCGAAAGTACACTCCAGGGAGCCCACCTGGGGTATGGCCCCTTTTCCTGTGTGGGCATTGCCAGCCTGCGGCCTGCTGGGTGGACACTGGCTGAGTCTGAGCCCCAGCCAGCTGTCCCCGACCTCAGGGTGAGTAGGGGCTGGATGACATCATCCCTTGAGCAATCTGGGCTCCTCCCCCCACCAAGCCTGCTCCCCAGCTGGGTTTGGGGAATGTATCCATTTGTCCTCCCAGCGGGGAGGGGGAATGTGGCCAGCTCCTGTGCCCCACTCACAGCTGGGCTGAGGTAACCCTGCAGCTGTTTTTAAAAGCCCTCGGGCGCCACTGGGCTGCTATTCTGAGAACCAGCTGCCGCAAGCCTCCCAACCCACCACCCAGCTCTTGTGGGCTATGTTGGGCTTGGGGGGAGTGGAAGTAATTTGGCGGTCAGCCGGCACAGCAGAACCCAATCACCCTGGCCACCTTCTGGGTATCTCTTAGGTAACTGGTGATCTTGGGGATGTTTCCCCACACTCAGCAGCTTTTCTGTGAAATAGGTACAAGCAGCCCGTTTCTGGGTGGAAATGTGCTCTCGATAAACTGTTCAGCTTCCCTCCCCTCCTCCCCACCACTGTACCTATCCCCTCCCCTTTTTATACCTGGCATAGAGCTTGGGTCACAGGAGATGCTGCAGAATGTTTGTTGGCATCTCCCCTTCTGTCCTCACTTCTCTGGGAAATCTCTGGCACACTTTCTCCTACACAGAATTCCAGGTACGGACAGATCAGCAGATGTTACTGCAAAACTCAGGGACAAGCTGGACACTTCATAGTGTGTGTTAGGGTGGAAACACAATGATACACTTCGGATCTTGTGTGTGTGGGTATGGGGAAGGGTCATGTGAACAAATGTTCAGATTGGAACATAACATTCTTGTTCCCCAAAATGACTCTCCAAGATAGGAGTACAGTTCGTGTGAGTGAACATGTTGTCAACACAACGTAGCTTGCAGAACGCTGCTGCGTGTGCGCGCTCTCTGTCCTACACACACACACATGCCTTGGCTGTGAAGTAGGAAGTGTGACTAGTTTTCTTTGGGCTGAAGCCGCAGTTGCTGTGGAGTAGGAAATTTCAAAGCTGCGATGGAGAGAAGAGCAACGCCAAATGCAGCCAAATGTGTAGAGTAGAGGCGTGGAAGGAGCTGTCTGCCCGTGGCTGTCCCGTGGGTGCACCCTCCTGCATCGCTGGGGACTTGAGCCTGGAGGGCCTCGGAAAGGAGGTGTCCTCGGCAGCCTTGTCTCGGGTGCCCCGCCCGGCCTCCAGGTCCCACCCCGGAGCTGTCCTGAGTCTCTGCCCCAGCAGCTTCTCCTTCTGTCAGCTGAGTTCTAAGTCCCCAGGGTCTCCTTCTCCCTGCTTTCTTCCAGGAGGGAACTAATCTGTCCTGCAGCCCCTTCAGCTCCTCCTGAGCAGCTTAAGCTGGAGCAGCCCCCTCCCTCCTTTTCCCAGCAGCCACACTGCTGGAGCCCCCGGCCCACCTGAGCTGAGTTTCTTTTTCACCAATACCACCCCTGCCCCCCACACCCCCCACCCCAGAGAGGCAGAGGTCGAGGAGACTGGGAAACAGCTAGCTGAAAGACAGCGCGCCTGGCTGGCACCCCGTGCTTCCCAGGAGTGACTTGTCCCTTTGGCTGTCTTTGCACTTGGCCTCCTTTGCGGAGTTGCTCAGAGCTGAGTGGGTTCTTAGTAGATTTCAGAGAAGAGCCCCCCGCCCCTCAGGCCTCTCTCTTCCCAGCAGGCATCAAGCTTCAGTTGCAAACACTGGTGAGTGTTGACAAAAGGCAGCACCCACTGGGCTGCCACCAGACGGGAGGGGGTGTCTGGGAAGGGTCCAGGCCCGAGGGCCAGCTATCCTAATCCCACTTGGGGCAGGACGCAGGTGGAGGGGTGCAGTGGCTGTTGAACGGGGGAGGAGCGTTGAGAAGCAGTGGAGCCAGAAGCGGTGCCCTGCAGTGAAGCGTGTATGGTGTAAGGAGTCAGTCATCGGTCACTGAGGATTCATGGAGCACTGCTGTGCCCAACCTGGGCCGGGCTCGGTGGGGGACACTGTAGGACGTGGTCCTTGACCTCGAGGAGGCACTTAGGCTCCCACAGGGGAAATAGGCTCTGCTCACACTCACAACGCCTGGAGGGCCGTAGAGAATACATGTGACCCAGAGCTGAGCGTGTGAGGAAGGGGTTCAGACAGGGGGATATTTCAGTGAGGGGCTGGTGGAGGAGGCACCACTTGAACAGGCGACCACATCATGGTGGCCATCCGCTTCCAGCTCTCAGGACGTTTTAGCCCGGCGTCTGCCCCCAGGGCAGGGCCCCAGAGCATCTCCTTGTTAAAAGATCCCTCTCTTGTTTTCTCTGCAGCCTTCAATACCCCAGGTCCCAAACTACAGGCTGTCGATGACAATCCCAGACTGGCTCCAGGCGATCCAGAATTACATGAAGACACTACAGTATCCTTCCAATCAGCATCTGAGCAGACCCAGCGAGGGGATTGGGGTGGTGGTCCCCAGCCTGGCGGCATGTCTGTGCCAGCAAACACTCCCCAAGGTTGGTGAAGCCAGATTTGGGGAGATCCTTACGAGACAGTCCGTCGCTGGGTACTGTTGAGTCAATTCCAACTCATAGAGACCCCAAGTAGTGTTTTCTAGGCTGTAATCTTTTGGGGGAGCCCTGGTGGTGAAGTAGTTAAGAGCTCAGGCTGCTAACCAAAAGGTGGGCAGTTTGAACCCACCAGCCGCTCCTTGGAAACCCTGTAAGGCAGTTCCGCTCCGTCCTGTAAGGTCACTCTACGCTGGAATGGCCGCGATGACACACAAAAACAGCCACGACAGTCCTTCCAGGAGCAGATCAGCAGGTCTTTGTCCCGGTAGATTCAGCCTTTTGGTTAGCAGCCAAACGTTGCGCCCCCAGGGGTTCTTCAAGAGAGACTAGAAAGAGTGATGATAGAGGATGGAATTGCAGTGACCTGACCCTTCTCCCTTCAGACAGGGTTAGGACAGGGGTGCTAAGGGGCTGTGAGTCAGTGGTGGTGACAGCTAACCTGACCCACCTCCAGCCCCTCTGGCTTCTCATTTTTCCCTCCCTTTCCCCGTCCTGTCCTTTTTCCTCCCCTGGGATCCCCTGTTGGCTCATCTCTCCTTTTTCTCTATCCCCTTCCTCTCTGCCATCTTTGTTTGCCTCTTCCTCTCTTTCTCTACTGTCCGTCTTTCTTTCCCCTCTTTCCTCCTGTTCTTCTCTTCCCACTGTCTTCTCTCTCACTTTTTTCCTTCCTTCCCCGACCATCCCCAGATCTGTAAGAGGCCTGCCTGGCGTTGCCTTTGGCTTCCCAGGTGACACAGGCTCATGGCCTTGCTCAGGTCTGTGCTAATGGACGGGGTTCTGGGATGAGGCTCTGTCCCCACTTGAGTCTGAAGAAGAGCTGAGCGGCCCTGTGGGGCAGGCTGGGATCAGAGCAGCCAAGCTTTTGGTTCCATTCTTCTTTGTTGTCCTCATATTGTTTGCAGTCAGGATTAGATCAGTTCTGACACCACCTGCACCCCCTCCCCCAGAAACACTGTGAGAACTGGAGAGACAGGTGGTCCACTTGCCCCTTGTGATGTTTCCTCGGGGCTAGGAGTCAGCTGAGCCAACAAGGCTGATGTGAGAGGGACAGCCATTTGCTCCAAGCAAGTTGGTGAGCCCGCGGAGCTAAACCAGGATCAGACTCCCGCTGAGGGCAGCTACCCTGCCCTCAGCCCCCAGTGCGTTGTCCAGGAGGTCAGACCCCGCTGGCCTCTGTCCTTCCCCCATAAAGACACAAGCTTAGCCTGTCCTACGAGCCCCCAGGCACGCTGGCTTGATTTCTGTTTGTCTGTTCCAACCCAGCCTTGAGGCAGAAAGGATTTCTGGAGCCCCCAGGCCGATGTTCCATGACCCGGAAGGAGACCCTCCTCTCTGTGCTGTGGGCGAGAGTCTTTCCTGGGGATTTTTGAGCCTTCCCCAAAGGGCCGAACACCAGCGCCTCCTCCATGAGGCTGCGTGTTCCCAGGCAGAAGTTGTGCCAGCTGCTGCTCGTTGTGTTGTGGTGGAGAGATGACTTGATTAGCTTCTCAGTTTCCACTTCTTGGATCACAAGCTCCCCTGCAGGCATCGTCTCCATTCCAGCCAAATCCTGAGAAGATCTTCTAGGGAAAAGGGCGCAGCAGCCACCAGAGCGAAGCAGACAACCCCGGCCCTGGCAAGGCCTGGTGGTGCTGGTGCTGACCCCCAAACTGACCCCCAGGCGGGTTCCATGTGGACCCCACGGGGGGCGGGGGGCGGTCCATGTGGGCCAGAAGCACAGACTCCTGCCCGAGTAAACCTGGACCTCAAGAGCTGACCCTTCCTGAAAGTACCTGGCTCCTCACAGAGTATTCCAGAAGGTGATGGAAATTAGAACGGCTCCCCACTTCCATCGAGGGCACAGTCTTCACAAGGGTTATCTGGCCGGCGATTTAAGAGAATGAATCCGGCCGGGAGTGCATTTATAGGGGTGTCTTATTTATCTACTAAAAAAAAAAAACCTGTTGCCGTCGAATCGACTCCGACTCCTAGCGACCCTATAGGACGGAGTAGAACTGCCCCATAGAGTTTCCAAGGAGTAGCTGATGGATCCGAACTGCCGACCTTTTTGGTTAGCAGCTGAGCTCTTAAGCACTATGCCACCAGGGCTCCCTTAGTTATTGAGTGCTGCTATAACAGAAATACCATAAATGAGTGGCTTTAACAGTTTATTTTCTCACAGTTTAGCCGGCACCAAATTCAGGGTGCTGGCTCTCGGGGAAGGCTTTCTGTCTCTGTCGGCTCTGGAGAAAGGTCCTTGTCTCTTTGCGCTTCTGCTCCTGGGCAATCTTCATGTGACTTGGCATCTCTCTTCCCCTATCTCTATCTCTTTTATATCTCAAAAGAGATTGACTCAAGATACACCCTACACTCATCCTGCCTCATTAACATGACAAAGACAACCTATTCCCAAATAGGATTCTAACCACAGGCATAGAGGTTAGAATTTACAACACACATTTTGGGGGAACACGGTTCAGCCCATGACAAGGGCACATTTGCAGGTGGTCCACATAACGTCTGCTCGTGCTGCCACAGACCCTGCAGCGCATCCTCAGCCCAGTTCTCATGGTCGCCCTGAAGGATCTGCTTTTTTATTTCCCCCTTCTCTGAACCACTATGATGGTCCGTGATCTAGATCACTGACTGCAGAGGGGGCCAGAGAAGAGAAAGCACCAGGGGGCTGCTGGGATCGTGTACCTGGTCAGCTGGCCACCAGAGCCGCCACACAAGGAGGGCAGAGCGTGGACTCTCTCCTGCCTTCAGACCGGACTCTTGCCTCATTCCTCCGGACTGCCTACTGCTTTGGCCTGGACATGGTGACAGGGTGCGAGGACTGTTGGGGCCAGCCCTGACTGTAGGTGTGCCCAGCTGGCGGGGGGGATGTGGAAGGACAAAACCCACCTTTCCCTCTGACAGAGCAGTGGCCAGGAGGTGGGCTAATCTTGCATGGAGTCCTGGAAAGAGGTGTCAGCGGTGCTGGATGGGGAGAAGCCTTCCGAGGGTGAACTTGGGCTCAGTGAGTGTCTTGCTCTGAAGTGCACGTTTAGAGGAGGCTTGCTTCCGTGACGATGACAGCCTTGGAAGCTTTACGGGGCTGCTGTCCTCAGTCTAATAGTCGCTGAGTCGGAATCAACATGACGGCAATGGGTGTGTTTTTTTCCTCTGGTGAACGTGCTCGGCTGCTAACTGAGACGTTGGAGGTTCGAGTCCACCCAGAGCTGCCCCAGAAGAAAGGCCATGTGATCTACTTCTGAAAACCAGCCACTGAAAGTCCCGTGGGTTTGATTTGAAAGTTTTTCTTTAATGTTTTTTATGCATAGAAAGGTACACTATATAAAACTAAAAAACAAAAACGAAAAACAAACCAGTTGCCTTCGAGTCGATTCCAACTCATAGCGACCCTGGAGGACAGAGTGGAACTGCCCCATAGGGTTTCCAAGGAGCGGCTGGTGCATTTGAACTGCTGACCTTTTGGTTAGCAGCTGAGCACTTTGACCACTGCAGCACCAGGGCTGCACACTATATGCTGTATACTAAGACAAACATTTGACTAACTGGCATTAGATACGAACCATACCTAACTTGTTCTGACTTAGTACAAATTCGACTTAAAGACAAATGGAACTCGTTTGAAATCCAGGGACTGCCTTTACATAAATAGAGGGAAAGATGGGCATAAAACTGAATTTTTGCCAATGGAATTCTATTTTAAATGTACCAGGAACCTCCCTGCTTAAATGAAATCTTTGGTAAAGTAAGAAAAAAAAAAAAAAAATCACTTCACAGTGAGAGTATTTAGTCCTTCATTTTTCTGTTTTACCTCTAAAGAACAACAAAAAAACCCAAAAGAAACTCTTTGCCATCGAGTTTGGAGTCATAGTGACCCTACAGGAAGAGTAGAACTGCCTCATAGGGTTTCCAAGGCTGTAAATCTTTACGGAAGCAGACGGCCACATCTTTCTCCCGTGAAGCGTCTGGTAGGTTCGAACCATTAACATCTCGGTTAGCAGCCAAGTGCTTAACCACTGTGCCACCAGGGCTCCTGTTATACCTCTAGGGTTTAGTTTATTGACTTTTTTAAAAGCTGGGAAAATCTGTATCATTAATAGTTATTTTTAGGGCCCAGGTCAGTAACTCCCAAACTGTTAAAATCATCCCCTTGCCCTCACCTGAAACTTCCAATCAGTAGTCTGAGGTGGGGAGACTCTGAATGGCATCCAGAGTTCAGAACCATGGCCTGAAATCAGTCTCTGAAGGTGGAGCCCAGAATCTGCTGTGCCAAGCTCCCCAGGTGTTCTTGTGCACGCCCGTGTCTGCGTGCCAAGAATGCTGATGCCAAGGGAGGAATCCCAGCCCTCCTCAGGAGTGTGTGTGGGCCTCCAGGAACTCGGCACCCCCTTCTGCAGCTGCCTGTCCTAGTGTGGGGGCACAGATCCCCCCATGTCCCCGATATGGGCTGCAGCAGCTCCATGCGTGCAACTTCACCCTTCACTTCCACCTTCCCAGCATCCACTTTTTCTGTAGGATTTTGTTTGAGGCAGGAGAGGGAAATATACAAAACAACTTTTCTTTAGGCTCAGAAAACTCAAAATCCCGTCTCAGAAAGCATGACATCAAATAATCTGTTATCTCCTTGAGAATGACCTGGTACAGCTTGCCATTCCGGGAGACCTGGGCAGCCAGCGAAATCTCAGGTTGTGAATAATGGTATCGTATTCTCAGATTTCGTTATCATGGCCAGTGTTAGTCCAGACAGGAAATGCAAGTGACGTCTCCACAGTAAGCTCTGCTGCTGCCTGCTCTACAAAGAAAACCTACGGCCACTCGTCCTTCCTTCCTTCTTTCCCCCGTCCTGTCCTTCCTTCCATCCATCCATCGATCCATCCATCCATCCATTCATCCATCCATCCATCCATCCACCCACTCACCCATCCATCCACCGACTCGTCCATCCATCCATCCATCCATCCATCCACCCACCCACCCACTCATCCATCCATCCATCCATCCATCCACCCATCCATCCACCCACTCACCCATCCATCCACCGACTCATCCCTCCATCCATCCATCCACCCACTCATCCATCCATCCATC